AAACTGGCCTCAGCGCTGCACTGTTCAATAGGAAGACAGGGAATCAGCACTGTGTTTTGGCGAGGCTCCAGAGAGAAAGACAATAATTCATTCTGTTAGATCCCTGCTGCTGGTTCAACCGGACATGAAGTCAGCTCATTATCCATGCTGACGGAGGGGAAGAGTGACCAAGTGATCGACAACTAGGGGGGGAGAAAAGTGGATTGCCTTGATAATACAGAGAATCGTTTTAAGGCAAAATTTTTAAATTACCCTACTTAGTTCTTTCAGAATCCAACTCTGTTTCCCTCTCCTTTGAGCCAGTTGGATGGGGAGTAAAGCATCACTTTGTATAATGCAAAAATAATCATGTTAATGGCCAGTAATACTCAGCATCTATTGAACACCTATTTTTGTCAGGTACAGAGCTAGGAAGAGTATCTGATTACTTCTACTTCATTTCTTCAATGTCTGTATATGTGCATTTCTTACTAGAGTAAGCTAACAAAATTTACTCATTTAAACATGTTAAAATCATTTTATTGAACAACTACATTTTCTGTAGTAAATGAACTTGTCCATTTACTGTGGTATCACATACATTATATTTATTAAAAAAATCAAGTGATATTAAAAGATTATAATAGTTGGTGATTAAAAAAAAAGAATTTTAATAAAAAATCATGACCATCTGCCTTTCTCCTTCCACAAATCTAGTGTCCTTCTCTACAGATAAAACCACTTTGTAATCTTTTAGATGTTTCTTTGGGTATTTATAATAAAAAAAATTAAAAATAAACATAATGCTCTTTTTGACTTTCTATTTTGGAGGATTAAGATTTCACATTGTTACCTTTTATATTAGTCACCTATTACTTTGTAACAAGCTGTCCCAAAATTTAGTAGCTTAAAACAACAAACATACATCATCTCACAGTGTCTGAGGATCAGGCATCTGGGAGCCATGTAGCTGGTGGGTTTTGGCTGAGGGTCTCTCTAGAAGGTGCAGTTGAGACACTGACTGGGGCTGTGTCATTTAAAGCTTTGACTGGGGCTGGACAATCTGATTCCAAGAAGCCTTATTCATGGGGCTGCTGGAAAGAAATTTCAGTTCTTTGCCACATGAGCCACTTCACAGGTATCCTCAGAGCTTGGCAGCTGGCTACCCCCAGAGCATGCACAAGGGTTCTTGAGTTATAAAAGATACTGTAACTTTTTATAACTTTATCTTGGACAGGGCTTACTCTAGTTTCTGCCACATTCTACTGGTCATACAGATAAACATTAGGGCAACGTAGGAGGGAGCTACACGAGGGAGTGAACGCCAGGAGGCAGAGCAATTAGAGTTCCTCAGGCTGAATATTATGGTCTGCAGCACTCTATCCCTCTGTGCCTCCTGCTGCCCCCAGTTTCTCTTACTTATCCGGACTCTCCAATGTGGTTATACTACAATTTTATTTAGACCGATGCTCAATTTATACCATAGGGCTCTGAGAGGTAGTATTTTGAGACTTCACACATCTGAGAATATATATCCTAACTCAGTTTGTCAGGGCATAAAATTCTAGGATAAAAATAATTTTCCCCACTGAATTTCAAACACATGGCTCAATTTTTGTTTATCTCTTATGGTTGCTTTTGGAAATTCAGACACCATCCTAGTCCCAATTCTCACAGATTTCTTTCAGGAACACTTTAAGGATCTTCGCTTTACTTTCAGTGTTTTGAAATTTTTCAGTGGGGTACCTTATAAGGTTGCAGATAAAACACAGAACGCCCAGTGAAATTTGAATTTCAGATAAATAACAAATACTTTCTTCATAGAAGTATGTCCCCAGTATTGCATATAACATATTATAATGAAAGACCATTGTTTATTTGAAATTAAAATTTTATTGGCCATCCTACATTTTTCTTTGCTGGAGCTGCCAAACCTACTACCTCAGAATGATCCATCCTTCTTTTTTCCTTCCTTCCTTCCTTTCCTTCCTCCCTCCCTTCTTCTCTCCTTCCATATGTACCCCGACTCTCTCATCTGTCTGTCTGTCTCTGTCTTTCAACTGTGTGGGAAACCCTATTATTCAGCTTGGGGGGTTAAATAAAGATCATTTCTGAAATATCTTCTCCTCTTCATTATCAGTTCAGTTCCTCAGACACGTGCTCTCTTCTGTGGAGGGGAGGGGCATTCTTCTGGTCACAAATAGTGGAGATGGGACCTGGTTGTACAGTTTCCTTATTTAGATTTTTTCAACCAATGGTCTTGCTTCGGTCACATCCCAAACACTATCTTCTCTGATACATTGTAACTCTAATTTGTGTACATTTCAACTGTTGTGTGCCCTGAACTGGCTTCTATCTTTTCATCATTCTTATGCAGGCTTTTAGATTTTAGCTTGTAGAACTTAGTCTAATTTTACTAAGTATGTTAAGACTATACTCATTTCCTTTTTCTAAAATTTTCTTTCACTTTCTTACTGCTTGTGTTAGTTTGAGATCATCCAAACAGCAGACACCAAGTTGTTTTAGATGTGTCAGGAATATATTATTCCTCATAGGAAATGCCTGTGAGGAAAATGGAGAGGGACCTGGGTGAGGCTGGGAGACCTGTCAGATCATTTTGCAAGTCTGATGGTTTTGAAAGAGAGAGGGAAGGGAGGAAGGTTGAGTGGAAGAGTCTTAGATAGCAGTGCAGTTCTTAGAGAGTCCAGTAAATTTGGTAGGGTTGATCAAGAAGTCCACCCCTCCGAGAAGTCCCCGTCTCCCAGGTCCTGACCTGCGTTAGTATCCCTGCAAAGCCCACTTCTTGGTCAGGAGCAGCTTATGGGAAATGTGGCCTCAGGGGGAATGCAGTGATAGATAGGAGAGGGCATGCTGCTGGTCATTCATGCTCCCCACAGTAGATCTGAGAGGTGCGTTTTCACGGCTACTATATTCCTCCTCTCCCATTCACTCTATCCTTGTGGGTTATGTATACAACTCTCCCACCCACACACATGGGTATTAGCACAGGATTTTATATACACTGTGTGTGTGTGTGTGTGTATGTATACATACATATATGGTAATACACAGGAAAACATATGTACATATATAATATGACACATGTCTTATATACATAAACATTCCCAAGTTAGGAAGTTTTCTCAGGTTGTTTTACCTTCCAATTCTGTGTGGCACTGTGAAAATTAGGATTCTTAGGTGGAAGTGATTTATGGCTGGGATGGGGGTAAATTATTGTAATAACTGAAGTTACAACTGTTATTCTCCCTTTATTGATGAGGAAGTGATGTGCATAGAAGTGAAGCAAATTTCTCCAAGTTCATACAACCAGTCAGTGATGGAGCTAGAATATGAATCTAGATAGTCTGACCAAAGATCATCTATTTTCCACTGTAACATGTTATCCCCGTGCCCATAGTAGAATTTTGTTGTGCAATACCTTTGTGCATCCAGGTTCAAAGGTAGGTTTGGTTGATGTATCTAGAGATAACTTCAGGAGCAACTGAACTCCTAATATTTCCATGATCAGATTTTATTTGCAGAAGACATAATGAGAAACTTGATTTCTCTTCCATATAATTATATAACATATTACCCCCTAAGTCTTAGTTGTTTAAAGCAACAATCACATTATTTCTAATGGTTTTTGTAAGTGAGAAATTCAGGCAAAGCACAATAGGGCTCGCTTCTTTCTGATCTCTGAGATCTACAGTGTCAGCTGGGAGAATTAAAACCTGGGGACTGGAATCATCTGAAGGGATGTCTTCTCCCAGTTCTGATTGTTGATGTTGGCTGGAGGCCTGGATGAAGATGTTGCTCGGCACACCCACACAGGACTTCTCCATGTTTTTTTTTTTCCTTTCTGTTAATAATGAGTGGCTAGTTCATAGGGTAAGCATCCTGAGTGAGTGAGATGGAAATCATATTGCCACTTTTATCTCCTCTGGGAGGGTGCATAGCATGATTTCTACCACATTCTGTTGGTAGATGCAGTTGCAAAGTTCTACCCATGTTTAAGGTTTAAGAAAAAAAAAATAGAGCCCACTTCTTGATGGAGATGTGTTAACGTCACCCAGTCAGAAGAGCAGGCTGGATGGGATAGCTCTGTCCACCGACAGATGTCTTTCATCTCTCCTCTGTCTGTGTAATTATTTACCTTTGATTGGCTGCACTTGCAAAATACATTGTGCCACATATCCTCAAATGAAAAAGAACTGGAAAACTGGATGAGATCTAATTTGTGTTTGCCAGAGAGTGCAATGTAAATTTCTTAACATGCTAACTGATTTTAGTAACATTTTATAAATCCTATAAACACACTTCTGCTTTAAATTGGAGAAGATATCAGGAAGGAAGAATCTTTGGTTAAGACTTGTCAAGTAAGGGGCAGTTTCTCTTGATTTAAAGCAGCTTTGTTTTGTCTTACAAGGTGCCGTCTCTGTAGTCTCTGCTGTGATGGTTAGGGAGTGTAAGTTTTTGAGCCACACATACTGTTTAAAAGCTCAGTAGTCACATATACTGGCTTTTTACCTTGGACAAGTTATTTAACTTCTGTAAGCCTTAGTTCCCTCCTCTATGAAATGGACAATGATAACACCTACTTTACAGAAAGATTGCATAGTTAAATAAAATAATATGTACAAACTATGTGTCATAGAATACATCAGTGTTATGTTTCCCTCCATTAAGAAACAGAGCTGTGAAGGACAATCCTTTTTGGATCAGTCCTTAAAGTAAGGAAACGTTTTCAAGCTATAATTCTCTTGTCACATAGATTTTAAATAGATTATGCTAAAAATTTCACTTGAAAGAACTAAAAATACATAGGCTTATATTGTATTTGTGTAACTCAAGGCAAAAAAATTTGTGAACAGTCCAGAAAAAATGCCCAGAATTCCAAATTGTGTCACAGTCACTAATTCATTAAAAGAAAAAAATCTTTACTGAGTACCCATTATATGCCGCATCAGGCCAAGGGCCGGGCAAAAACACTGAGCACCGTAGGCACACCTTAGCAAACAAACACATAACAAAACCGCATGCTTATTGTACATTTTTGTTGTATTAAAATGATTCTTCTGCCCCTTTCACCATCTTGACAATGCTTTCTCTATTCTCCATACTTGTTCCTTTAATAGCTTCCTTGCTTCACATGTTGTTTCCACGTGATGATTATCTAGGGCTTCCTTTTCATTTGTTTCAGGACCTGTGAAGGAGTCAGAGAACATGTCTTACTGAAAACCACAGAAAGTGCAGTCATAAACTGAGTATCATATAGCAGCTGCCTGTTCAGCCTCTACTGCATTTAAAACACATTGCATTCTAAGGGATTTATGGAGTAAGTTTGGAGCAGAAAGCCTCAACACTCAAATACTTCTCACTTAACTTTTTAAGCTAGCCTCCTGCTTTTTTTTTGCATCAAGAGGTGTACAGTAACCCCAGGTAAAACTCAGAAAGCAGCTCCATCTCCGGTGTGCCAAGCTGTGCCTGAAGGATGCTTACTGCTGCATTCTTAAATCCTGGCATTTGGTGCGGTGAGGGACAGTGTTGGTATCAGATTTTTTTTTGAGCTCTAACTGTGCATCATTTGCCCTAAAATAATGCATTTCCCTAGGTGTTAACATTTTTACATGCCTTTTCCTCTGTGCATAGTCTCTGCACTTCTTCATCTGAAATTTAGCTTTCAGCACTATTCTATAATCATCAAATGAGCGTATAATGCTCTTTCATGCAGTAAATATTTCTGAAGGAATGATGGAGAGGAGTTTCTAGAAATCTCGCCACTTAAGAAAAGAAAATGGACTAAGTGCTTTTCTTTGTCTGTTATTGTCGCAGCAGATGTGCTGTACCATTTCGGTGTTTTGAGGGAAAGGGAGTAAGTGTGCATGTTGTATTTCAGGGAATAGCACAGCTCTAAGTGTACTTTCTAATGGCTTTTGTGTGTGTGTGCTGGCAAATTAGATTATATTCAGTGTTTTATTACTTCCTCTTTGACTGTTCTTTACTTTGGTAAAATTTATTTTGATTGGGATAACAAAAGAAGAGATATTCAATGGCTAACTGGGTAAATCAACAATGGCCCCAGGAAAAACATTTGCTTTCCACATCCTTGTACTTCCCAGTCATAAGTGTGGTGTGTCAAAAACAGTAGACTTAAAAATGATGGTTCCATTTAATTAAAATAAAACAGAGACTTGAAGTGGAGAATTATCAACAATGTTCACTAATTTGTATCTTTTGGAGTGATTCTTAAATGATCTGATAATTTTCTCTATTTCATATTGGTTCAAGTATCCACATCAGCAGTTTTGAAGGCAGGTCTTATGCTGAAGGAGAAGAGAGAGGAGGAAACAAAAAAAATGACCTAAAACACATGGGCTTTGAATCACATAGACCTGGTTGTCATTTGCTGCCTTATATACTTAATAGCCATGTGATTTTGAGC